ATAGTTTGCACACCTCAATAACAGACCCATCTCTTTTCTTCTTAAACGCAAAACATCTTTTCGGCTTTCTTTTAGGTTCACTTGTGTATTTTCTTTTCGGAACTGCTGTAGCCACTTGAGACATAACAAAAACTCTTCGCTGTTCAAAAGACAAATTCCAAAAATCAGAATTCAACTGTGCGCTATCTTGCTCAGTAAGAAACGTGTTACATTTTTTTAAACATTTTTCAGTACTGGTTTTACGGCATATTCTAATTGCTTTTTAGCTCTCTTCTCTTTAATCCGTTCACCTAGGCCAGTGTCATACTTCTTTCGTTTCTGTGGTTGGACATCAAGTTCACTTCTCCCCGTACCAGTGCTTTTCGTATCCATAGTGTTAGTATTTTTGTTTTTATTAGTCCAATCTACAGTGTGTCTTCTTGGCTCTTTTTTTTTCCCATTTTCAATGCATCTTAGTTCTCGAAAATCTATCGTAACACGTCTTTTTTTATGTTTATTTATCGACAGTGAATTACGGAATGTATGAGATGGTGAAGATTTGGTGAGTGTAGCTGTAGAAGTAGAAGGCTCAGTTAAATTTGTAGGAAAAATTCGTAATTGACTTTTCTTTGGCAATTTTCGGTGCGAAGGAACGTTTTCTGGCAAATTTAAATCGTCTGAATCTTCGCTTGAATCCGGAATATAATCTTCGTCAAGAACTGAGTCGTCTGAATTAAAATCTAATATATTAGGGCATAATAATGGTTTTGTATTATTATCAGGGTGAAAAGAATTATGTTGGATATAATCAGGTACATTACCAGAAGGAAAATCATCTGCTGGCATTTCTTCATAACAAAACATATCAGTGTTTTCTAATTATATGCTGGGAAAGGCTTTGTTTAGCATATTAATATCATTTATCAAATTTCGGGAATGAAGATGTTAAACTATTTTGTGTTTCACAAAATTTGTTGAAAACTGCCGAAGTCATGGAATATGGTCGAGCATACAAATTGTTTACAAATTCTGTTTCCGGTTCGCCAGTTTGCATCTTAAAGTAATCCGAATTTGGTATTTTTGACGTTACCATATCTAATATGAGTTGAGATCGCCGGGAAATTTTAGAACTGCAAAAAAAACGAAAAATTCCATTTACTAGAAATAATATTATTGGAATAGGATTAGAAAACAAGTAAATATTTTTTAAACAACACAAACTGTCATACACACAAACACACTATCATGGAAACATACAAAATATACAATCTTTCATCTTGTACATGTATGTGCAAGTCGTAATTAAGATTCCATTAACTTTTAAAGCGCATTTTTAAAAATTTTAATGATAATAACAAGAAGGAACTTACCAAGGCATTTTCTTAGCCATATTGATGATTTGGCGTGAAATATTCTGTTCACCAAAAGCTCGTGACGTGACTTCTCCGACAAACGATAGAATATTAATTACTAACTGACGCTGACGAGTGACGATATGGATACAGTTTATTATACCATGATATGGATATGACAGCGCCGCAGTGTAGCAGGTGAGAGGGAGGTCGCCTAGTGATGTTTTAGCATAGTATTGTTACTTAAAGGTGTTTTAGTTGTGGAACTTCTACGAGATTATTTGTCGCAAAACACGCCGAGGGCGGTTAGTGATGTTTAAGTTTTACATCGTACAGCAATATTTTAAAATGATCCTTAGCTTTATTATCGTTAAGAAATTTTATCGATATTTTAGTGTAGCATTTGTGTATAACGGGTTTTTAGTTAAGTATTGTTTCCCGATGTAGTGAAATAAACTTGGACTAAAAAAAAGTTAAAGTATGTTAACGGTCTTATAGCTGTATAACTTTGGACAACGTGGTTTTAGCTAGGTAGCTTAAATAAAAATTTAAACAAAATACTATCGTTGAAGGCGGTTCCTGATGTTTTAGTTGAGTAATGTGGATTAACGTAGTTTAAGCTGTGTGAAGTTAAAATTTTGTTGTAAATAACGATGTTTTTGCTAATGCTATCTTTGAAACTACAAACCTTAGAACTACGAATCCAGGACAGATCGATAGAGAATTTTTTTTTATATAGTGTGGCATCTATAACTCAAAATTGGCCTATGGTGGCTTAGCGATGTTTTAGCTAACGGACGGCAGCATAGATATGCTGGTTTATTGTACTCGGTGGGCTTTTCTGTGATTTGTCTTAATACAAATACGGCGTCTACGCAGGATCTTCCGGATCTGAATCCTTGTTGTTCGTCTGATAAAGTTATTATTTTATTGATTTTGTTGGTTAAGACTTTTGTGGTAAGCTTAAGTGCAATGTTCAGTAGATTTATACCTCTATAATTGTTGGGGTCTTCTTTATCTCCTTTCTTGAACATTGGTATCATTATGCTGTTTCTCCATGGTATCTTGTAGTGCAATATTAGTTTTTGTATTAGTTTTGTTATCTCTAGGGTTATATTTTCTCCTTCGTGTTTTAGAAGCTCGTTGGTTATTTTGTCTGGTCCTGGTGACTTTCTATTTTTGAGTGATTTTATGGCTATCTCTACTTCCTGAAAACTGATTCCTATTTCGTGTTTTAATTAGGTACGTTATTGTGTTGTCTATTATTTTCCTTTCCTTTAAACAGTTTCGTCAGGTATCTTTCCCATTCGTTTGTTGTTATGTTATTGTATTCCTTCAATTCTGCATTTCTTTTCGTTGGTTTCTTATGAATCTCCATATTTGTTTTTGTGTACCGTAGAAGTCGTGTTTCATCCTTTTGTAAACTGTTCCCAGTGTTCATTTTTTGTTCTTCTTACCAACTTCTTTGTTTCATTTCGTATTCTTCCATATGTGTCACGGGATTCTGGAGTATTTGATGTTTTGTACTTGCTGTGGGCCTCTCGTTTCTCTTTACATTTCTTTTTTATTTCTTTTCTGAACCATGGTGTATTGTTGTTGTTTCTTTTGTTCAGTATGACTTTGCGTTTTCCTAGAGCTTCTGTTTCTGCTTCTTCAAAATTGTTTTTAATTTTCTGTCAGCTCGTGTTTATATCTTCAATGTCGTCTATCGTCTTTTTGTTTCAGCTGTATCTTCTGTGCTAGCCTCCTTTGGTACATTTCTCTTGTAGAGTCGTTTCACGATGATTCTACATTGAATTTTTCCCCGGTGATTTCCTGTAGAAAATGTTTTGGTGTTATTTTCATTATTTTTTGCTAGTCTGGTCATTTTGGTTATTTTACATAACATGATAAACTTCGTCTTCTATGTGTCTAATTATTTCAGGTTCTTAGAAGTTGAATCATCAAGCGGTTTCTATTAAAATGTGTGTTTTATCCATGTTTACTGACATTTATATTTTAATTTTTGTCGTCGTTGTATTGGTGTTTAATATTTATCATAATAATAATTCCTAAAGATGATTTTTTCTTTCTATTTTTCATTCAGTTTTCTGGTTTATCATTTTTCTCTCGGGTTCATTTTTTTACTACACAGGGTGTAACAAAAAGGTAGGTTATAAATTAAATCACATATTCTGGGACCAAAAATAGTTCTATTGGACCTAACTTACCTTAGGTACAAATATTCACATAAAAAAAGTTACTTTGAAATTACAAAATGAAAATCGAGTTTTTTTCTAATATATCGAAAACTGTTTTGAGAGATTTGTGAGATTTTATTTTGAAAATGGGGATATGGCTTTCTTATGGCAAGAATATCTTTAAAAAAATAACAGTGAAGTTTTTGCACCCCTTAAAAATTTTATGGGTGTTTTGTTCCCTTAAAACCCCCCTTAATGTTTGTGTACGCTTGAATTAAATTAATATTGTGGTACCTATGGTTAAACACAATGTTTTTAAAACTTTTTTGCCTCTTAGTACTTTTTCGATAAGCCAGTTTTTATCGAGATAAGGCTTCTTTTTATTATGTTCCAGAAATTCTATAGTTGGCTGTATAACATTAATTGTTGTGCATTTAAGAAAAACTAAATTTTCTATTACAATTGTTATACACGTTTTCAGAAATGGCAGATGTTCATTTAATTCAGGGTAAGTTTGAGTAGGCTAAATTAGGGTTTTAGATAATTATTGGTAATTTAGTAATTACATGTGAATGCCAAGGGAATAGTGATCCAGCTGTAAGGCGTTATGCGAAAAAATATCCTAATCGAAATACACCAGGCAGACGATTATTTCTTTCCACTGATCACCATTTACGGGAGACAGGCTCATTGCGACTGCCACTTAATGTAGTAGTAGTAATAATGGTCGACCAAAAGTAGATACAAACGATGAGGAGATTTTTGAAAGCACTGGAAGAAATCGCTGGAAGCAATATAAGAGTAGTAGCGACTCAATTAGATGTTTCGCACACGATGGTTTGTAGCCCATGATTTACCAAAATATTCAATTTTCCTTTTTAAAACAGTGCTGAATGTATATTCAAGAAAATGTAGGTCATTTTGAACATTTGTAAAATCCATTACATATTTGTAAATGGTTAACTAATATTAAAACGACCTGGTAATAATATGAAAATTTATTTATAATTTATATTTTATTAGGCACTCAGATGTTTTGAAAGATATTAAAAAAGAAGCTGCATCTCGATAAAAGCTGGCTTATCGAAAAACTTAGAGACAAAAAGTCCTTAAAACATTGTGTTTAACTAATGGTACCAGAATAATAATTTAATTGAAACATACACAAACATTTGGGGGGTTCTAAGGAAACAAAACCACCATAAAATTTTTAAGGGGTGCAAAAACTTAAACACAGTTATTTTTTTAAGATGTTCTTGTCATAAGAAAACCACATGTCCATTTTCGATATAAAATCTAACAGTTTTTGATATATTGTAAAAAATCGATTTTCATTTGGTAATTTCAAAGGGCTGTAACTTTTTTTATTTGCACATTTGTACTAAGGTAAGTTAGATTCAATCGAACTATTTTTGGTACCAGAATATGTGATTTAATATATATGATCTACCTTTTTGTTACACTCTGTATATTAGTATTAAATACAGTATTCGTCTAAACAGTTATATATTCATAAAACCAAAAAATACATAAAACATAAATACTGTTTTAAATTCTATTTGAGGATATATATTCAAACATCCACTAGAATTTGTTAATAATTTTTTCTAAATACTCTAAATTATCGTTTGATCTTAAATGAATCATAGGTGTATTGTGTAATAGTTTTTTGATTGGAAAAGACAGCTTTATCGATCCTAGAAGAAGGGCTACCAGTTTCTTGTAACCATATTTTCCTAAAAAAGAAAAAAATGAAAAAAAAACAAAAATAACATGGTTTCTATTATTACAAATATTAGAATTAGGAATAGAATACATCAATAATGTAATAAAGTGTGGAGGAATAGGTAATTAAAATATAATGAATATATATAAAAATGAAACGATAAGCGAGGTAGAAAGTGACAAAGAAAATAAATGGAAGATAGGAGAAGATTATAGCTTTAGAAGAAGCAAAAAAACACAGAGATCAACACAGACAAATGAAAAAATGATGGGAAAAAAAAAGGAGAAAAGATGAACTAAATAAAGCAAGTGAGAACGGAACAAGCCGAAAACAATAAGAAATTAATGTAAATGAGGCAAGAGAATCAGAACTTGAAAATAGAAGTAAAGCAACTACTACTAAAGGAGGTGGAAAAGACAGGCACTTGACAGGGAAGAATGTTTTGAGGCAGGTCAGAGCTCACGAAGAGCTGTAGTGCCAACTGATGATGATGATTACTAAAATCCAATATTGTTATTATATGAAAATGAAAGGGTCTGACTATACTTTCAGGCAAGGCAAAGTAACAACACATAAGATCACATAATATGACACAATAAGGACTAAACAATATTATAGATTCTAAAAAATACATACAAATTTTTTAGAGTAGATCTCTCTTAAAAGTTTGCATGAAAATCTTGTAGAAAAAAATGTACTAAAAACACTACTTCATTGTGGAAAAGTTTTAAAAACATTGGATGAGGTGTTGGATGAGCATATCAAAGGTATATGGCAATTTGTCTTTTTGAATGAAACATGGAAATTTAAAGATGGAGTTGTTGTTCCTTTTTGGCAGGATGCATAACGATTTGCTGTTTGATTGTTATGCTTGCTGGATATATAGACATACATATAGTAGATATACACCCACTACATTCTCAACTGAAACCAAACAACTTCAATTAATAAAAAAATCTGTTTCACCTTTTCAACTTATTGTCAACTGCTATAATAGAAAATATTAAATAATAAACAAATATAATGGGCGATCTGCAATTTGTTATCCTGTTTCAGAATTAAGACCAAAAAGATTCATCTATGTCCTTTTATAATGCAGAATACTGTCATAGCTATTTCTGATTATATATTATAATAATAGCAAAATAATTAAATACTAACATTTCTTCTACATTTCTCGTAGTTCCTTCAATTATTCCTTTAACTGTATCCTGCTTGGTATTCATGCACCATCCTTTCAAATTCAGTCTCTTGGCTTCTTTTTCTGTATACTAAAAATTAAAGGAATCATTTGTTTGATCGATACCTACTAAAGTAATAATAATTACCTTTCGAAAAAATACACCTAAAACAAAATATTATTTAACATTTTAAAATAGTATATTTTTAAACATACCTTGAACTCTGCCAAATACCTCAAAATCTACCGACAAAAGTGTATCAGCAGAAGACATATTGGCTGTATGTATCGTACAATAGGTAAAAAATATAGTCGCACAAATTAGGAATTTGGCGTTAAATGGAAATAACGATTTAATCATTCAAAACAAAAATACTGGGTGACTTAATGATATGATAACATAACCATAACAACATAACAAGTGTGAACATAGCAAGTTATTAGCAACCGTTTATTGTCGAACTTTTCCAAACTCTCAGTGTCGGAGGAGCTTACAAATTTGGGAGGTTGTGAAACCTAGATATTATACAGTAGTCTCTCTTTATAACGATGAAAATAGTAAACGTTGTTTGGTTTGGCATAAGGACAATGTATTCATTCTTTCTCTATACCGATATCGTTCTCCCTTTACAGCGATGACTTTTCAGCGTTCAACAGTCGATGTCAAATGTGTTATTGTATTGTGTTTAAAGTCCAGACTACAGGCTACCTGAGTCATGAGTGGGAAGGTCATTGTCCAGCGGTTGTTTTGTTGCGCACTTAAGGAATGCGGCCACCTCTCCTACGTTGTTATCCAAGGGTTGAGTGACACGCTTTTATTGTTCGCGCGGAGTGCCTAACTGTTTTTACACAGACCTTGTCATCTATTGACGACTTCTCACTTCCAGTATCAGTTGTGTCCTTGTGTCTCAGTGTGTGAGTCAAAATGTTTTCGAAAAGGCGTAAAGTGCTCTCGGTGGAAGAAAAGTTATCGATAACTCGGGCAATAGAGACAGGTGAAAAGCAATCGGATGTCGTTCGCCGTACAGGGCTGTCCCAATCAACTGTGGCTACGATATGGAAAGACAGAAAAAAGTGGCTTGAAGCGGAAATGGAGGGCGATAGCAGGAAGAAGTTGCGGAAACCTCAGCACGAAGATTTAGATCGCGCTATGCTTCAGTGGTTCCAGCAGCAGCGTATGAGCCTTATTCCACTTTCTGGGGCTGCGATCAGGACAAAAGCTGACTTTTATGCAACTGAGCTTGGAATTGAGAATTTCAAGGCATCTGAAGGTTGGTTGAACAAGTGGAAGCTGCGGCACAATATCAACTACGGGCAGATCAGCGGAGTAACTCGCTTTCAGTGCCGGAGGAGCTTACAAATTTGCAAGGTTGTAAAATCTAGGTATGTATTTAAAACAAGCAAAGGTCCCGATGATTATTCACGTGTCTAAATGTTTTCAGCCATTTGTACTATAATATATGTACACATTGGGTGGAAATCTTTACTAATAGGTAAAAGGGTGTGTAGCTACAGTATATAATTTGTTTTGAACTTCCCATCCATCCTTATTGTCTTGATCTAATTTAAGCAAATAGAAAATATTTTCTCAATGTGGTCTGTGGCGTAACAATTAAGTAAAGTATGTATAATAAGAAATATAAATAAATTAAGTATATTAATTTACTAAAGGTAAGTCAATTCTTTATATCGTATTGAACTAGGTATTATATTTGTAAGTTTTAGTGAACCTTTACGAAGAAGACAAACTATCAGGAGTAAACAAACCCCTCTAACTTACAAAGAATTATATAAGTAGAAATAAATAATATACAATATCCATTATATTAGTACAGATTCACTAACAGATAAAAGGTTTGTACCGCTCCTATTACTTGAAGCCAGAGCAGAAAAAAATATCTAAATCCTAGAAGAAAAAAGAAGATACAATAAACTAGTAGTAAATAGTAAAATTTAAACTGTAAGTATATTCACAGTGTTAAGTATACTGTGGTACACCTTTCTCGCTATACTTAAAAAAGACGATGGTAATAAATGATCAGAATATCGATTAAAATATTAGTCCAATGATAGCAATCCAACAATAATTTCGCGCATATCCATAGCACACTACCACCTAGCATTGAAACTTCCGTGTTGACGAGTAAAACAATGATTGGCGCATCACCTAGTGACCGGGCGCCTAACTATAAATACATGGCGCGAAATTCAAAATTTTTGTAATATTACCTAGGATTGTGAACTCATTTTAAAGTAAAGGAAAATCGATATAATCTTAAAATAACAAGAAAAATCCTTATCCTATACAATAATAAATATTTTTCGTATACTTTTTGGGTTTTCTTGTTATGTTGAGACTATATTTATTTTACATTACATTAAAATGTCAAAGTGGTCAAAAAATTAAAGAATAAAATATAGAATAAAATCTTTATTTATAAAAATATTACAAGAAATGTTATATGTGTTACAAGAAATATTAATAATACAAGCCAAGTGTACTATAATTTAGTTTTCTTAATGTTGTGGCAAGAACTGGTCAGTATTTAAATAATTGTTTTGTCTTAGTATGTCAAGTTTTATGTAAATAGAAGCCTAATTCTGCAAAAGGCCTTTTACTACAATTTTATTCTCAAAATTTGCAAAGAATTCAAACATTGGTATATAACATTCAAGATTTTTTTAGAAAGCAATGAATCTAAAGATAAATCCCTAGAAGACAAAATAAGTACATGCTTGTAATAAATTTAGTCTATAATTACATAAGCGAAGCAATCAATGGGGAAAACCAATTGCTTTTTTCACACATACTCTCACAGATTCAGAATGAAAACATGCAAATGCATTGAAGTATTAAAAAAATGCAGACATTATCTGGTAGGAAAGCAATTCAAACCAATCACAGATTAAATCACTATTTTGTTTATATAGAATGCTGGCATATATAAAATCTGACAAGGAGAACTAGCTTTACTTCACAAGAATTTATTAATTATCTCCACTCTAAAGGAATATTTCAAGTAGAACAACACCATATAACCATGAAGGAAATGGTTAAGTTGAAAGATACAATGAGTTATATAGAAATTGGTGAATCTAGCATTGAAAACCAAATATTTAGACATCACTAAATGAAAAACTGCTTTACCAGGAGCTCTATACTATATAAGAAGTTTACTATTGAATTGTTATATTATTGAATCACGATAATGATGAAGATGAAGTCCAAATAACACATTAGAGAATTCCACTACTAAATCAATGCCAGATGTGACAGAAAATTTACCTGTTCAAAAACCTGATGATAATTATGAACCAAGATTGGAAAATTCAGATTTTCAATCTAGCTGTAAATCAGCTGGAGCTAAAAATAAACCAAGATAGTTGCAATATTTTGTTCACAAATAGGGAAGGGTAAATGTAGTATAATTTAGTGTTCTAAATCTTGTGACAAGAACTTGTCAGTAATTAAATAATTTTTTTGGAATTCTAATGTCAAATTAAAGTCTAATAAGCAACAGACAGCTGTCAGACATTCTGAGTTCTTTGTAGTACTTACATCCTAATCTAATAACACACACTACCAGTGGTCAGTGAGAACTCTTACTGTCTGGCGTTCTACTCACAGAAAAACAGAACTCAAGAACTCTGCTAAGTTGGAAACAGAAAAATTAAATGATTTAGTTCTAGAAAGAACTTTATATACATTTATATGATAATATTTTAGTCATATTTAAACCTATAAACCCAACAGTTAGCTCTAAGATTCTAAGATCCAGCACTATAAAGATGGAAAAATAACATTAAAAATAAAAAAATATGTAAAGTATTACCTAGTTACAATAATAATATGAAGTATTTTACAAAGTTACGTTTCCAAACTCTATCTTACCAGTAACTCTTTTCTACTAATATTTATATATTTATTGAGAGACATATTAAATACATTTAGATTTAGGTTGTTCTTTTGATTAAAAGTACATAGATGAGACAAACCATGATAATATATGGTACTCTAAGACCAATCTCACTCACAAGAGAGAGACAGATCCCTCCTCGCACTTAACGGCAAGCTCATGGACCTCTCCATATGATAGTGTAGTGGTCTGCTAATCTAATCCAACTTTGAAACAGGCACACCTGTAGAAATTATGTCGAACCCTCTCTAAGGTGATGATTTTTTAAGATAGTTGTTGAACCACCACCTACAAAATAATTCAAATAGTAAGCAAGTAAGTCTGATCTTATAATTAGGTTAAATTTATAATTAACTAATTTTATAAGTAAAAGGTCACATACATACATATATTGGCATAATAGTTCTTACCTGGTGCTGGTAAAAACAAACTCAGAAGGGCTGTTCTCGTAATACCGGTATGTCCAACATTAATTATATCATCCTCTTTAAAATGACTAGCGCATACACGAAAATTGTTATAAATAGTTTCTGTTGCAGCATTCTCTAATTAGGGCTTTTAACAGCATTCACCCATTTATCAAACATATCCATATTATAATCTCCTGGACTTGAAAAACGGTATTGCTTGGCAGCGGTAGTGTGCTTGCCTATTATAGTATCCATGCAATCTGGAATACATCTTTTTTGTTCAGTTCTTCGTCACTATATTGTTATTCCATGTAATGTGTTCGATTCCATAATAAAAAATCGTCTAAAATTTTACCTTTTTGCACTACTTATATAAAAAAATTTAAACTATAAAATAAATTATAAAAAAAAAACAAATAAAAATATGGCGCCGTATTTGTCTAAATTCAACTTTTGATTTGACCACAGCACACTCCCTACGCGTAGAAACGAGACTAGCAGCGCCACCAAACGAATGGGCGCCTAAATCCGAACGTGATTTGACATTGCCTATCCCTGTTACCAATCTATAAATTTTATCTATGCGCATATCATGATTATTTTATTAAAAAATTATATTTTAGCTTTACTTCTTGCGCCATCTGCTGTAGAAAGGTATGAGAATAGCCGAAGAAGCTTTGTCTTCGTATAAGGTCTGTATAAAACTACATAAAACTTTAAATACTTGACAACAGGTGGCGCTAGCGTTAAATAAAATAATTTATTGCAATATTCTAATATAAAATAACAATAACCTTTTCCAAATATATTTATTATGTTGATGGTATTGTGATGCACCCAGGGGGAAGTTTGGTGGTTAACCCCACCCAAAGACATATAAAGTAAAAAATATATAAAGAATAGTAGAAAAATGTAACTTGTCTTTCACACACAATACAAAAAATCCAAAACGCTAATTGTATAATTAAATTACCACTTTAAATATGAAGAACACAATAATTATTGTATAAATACACAATAATTAAGAATATTTTTCATTATATTTAGATATAGATACCTAATATTAGTCTTATGAAAAAGTAATCAGAACGAGTCTGTTGGGAGTAGCATGCGCATACAGGACTGTATCTGCGGCGGCCTTGTGGACTATCACGGGTTGTGTTCCTCTGCATGTATTAGCAGTAGAAAAGAGACATCTCTATTAGAGAAGAGAGCATTTGACAACAGCTATAAAAAAACGAAGAAAAGGAAAGATGGCAAGAAGAGTGGAACAACAAGGAAGATGTTGCCCACTGGACCAAGATGCTGATCCCGAGTCTAAGGGACAGGGTAGATTGTCTATTTTAGGGAGTATCTTCATAGGTTCACAAAGACAGATACAGATAAATGTATATACCTACTGCGAATATTCCGACATTGTTACTCACATAATGCTGGAGTGTAATGGATGTAGGTACAGTGCAGAGAAACACAATGTATAATGAAATATGGTATGAACCCTGTGAGTGTAAGAGAGATGATCGTGAAGATGACGGGAAGTACGGAGGGATGGAATAGTGTTCATATTTACATCCGAGCAGTCATTACAAAGAAAGCAGAAGGGAAACGCCAACCGGACCTACAACAAAGATAAGATCTAATTACTATTTTAATGGGAATAAGCCGCAATTGAAGGTTAAAATAAGTTTATCGACGTTTAAATTTTTGATCTTTGATCTTGCACTGATCACTTGTTTATACTCCAACAATTAGTAGAAAAATAATAGCGGTTGGTACCGATGTACATCTAGCCTTCATCGACCTAGAAAAGGCGTATGATACAGTTCCAATACTTAAATTGTGGCAAGCTTTACAACAACTTGACATTAGTCCATACCTTTTAGGAATAATCACAAGTATACAGGGATAACACTACTTACCTAAAACTCGGAAATATACTATCAGAGCTAATAAAAGTAACTAAAGGACTAAAACAAGAATGCAGTATGTCACCCTTACTGTTTAATTTACATATTGAGGCAGCCCTCCAAAATTGGAAAAACCACTGCCAGGGAAT